CAGACGAGGCATTGCTGCCGCCGGCGCTTCCCAGTGCACCAGGGGCTTTTTCATCGCCCAGTGCCGGGGCTCGGGGCAGTGGACGCGGCAACTGCGTTGCCAGTCCGCGACCGCGAGCCAGCGGCGCAGCGCCGCCGCGGGCAGCGCCGCGAGCTGCCGACGCTACTGCAGGCAACCCAACGCCTGCAGATTGGACTCGGCTCGACATCGCCACGCTACTACGAGCGCCACGCGGCGATTCGCGCGAACACGAATGCGAGAGCAGCGCGAGCTACATCTCCGGTGGTGGCGAGCCACTATGGAGGAGATGGCGCGAGTGTTGCGCGCAGCCAACATGCCACAGGCCATCCTCGACCTAATCCCCACAGTGGTCAGCAACTGTCGGGGATGCCGCGAGTGTTTTTTCCCCGAGCTCGCTTTTCGACTCGTTTCAATCGGCGCGTCGAGCGCGGTATCCCGCGCTACAAGGGCAGCAGGGCATTGATCTGCCGCGCCTCAAGGTGGCGCGCCGGCCAGGAGATCGCGGACAGGTACGACTCGACGTGGATGGCGGCCGTCGACCGAGCATGGATGCAGCTTCGGCTCGACGGAGACCTTCCCCATGGACGGCGAAGGCGGGATGGCCCCCGAGTTACTTCGCAAAGGAGACGACGAGGAGAGAGGCACGGGTAGACATCCGAGCTCCACGCAAACGCGCCTGTTTCATAGAGCGACGCGGCGCAACATTCCGACGCGCTCTACGCGCCACCGAGGAGCAGTTGAAGCGCGAAGGCATTGCCGCCAACTTCGACTCCGTGCTGACCCGCGCCTTTTTCGCGGGCAACAACTGCCTCGCCCGCGCGGGCGGCGCTGCGCCGTGCAACGTCGTTTCCGACAGGCAGCTCTCCATGTTGCCGCCGCTTGACGCAGACGAGGAGGGTGAGGTGCCGGCGACTATTTCGCTGGCGCCCGCCCCGCTGCTGGTGGCGAAGCGTAGCCCGACCGACTGAAGTGACGCATTCGCGATATCGACCTGCAGCGCGTGATCGAGGCCATTTCGGTCGGCCCGCGTTTGCCGCGGCCTCCGGGCACGCGCCACAGAGACTGGAGAGGGGCGCTTCAGCATGGGTGACCAGGTGGAGATGCACTGGCCTCCCAGCACCTGTGTGCACGTCGCCATGGACGCCGAGAAAGCACCCTGCAGCATGACCTATGCCGAGATGCAGGAACGGGGCCAAGCACCTCGAGAGGTGAGCTTCATCCTGACGCCCAGCAGTGCCGCCATCCTCATGCAGGTGGCAGGCTGCGCATCCTTCGACGAGCGGGCCGAGTGCCTGCGCTGCATCGAGCCGGGCACAGGCTGCAGGGGCGCACTCAGAGCTTTCTCCATGAAGTTCGCCAGGGTCACGCGCTCGCCCGAGTACAACACCAAGCCGACGTGTTTGGGCCCTGAACTTGAGGTCGAAAGTGAGTCGTCTGGGACCTGTGGTTCTCCGGCGGCTCAGAGTAAATGCTCATGTTGTCGAAGCGCGTCGGCGATCTCAAGATCGCGGGACTCGTGGGGCGCGTCGACCGTCTCATCGGCCACGTCGAGGGCGTCTTCGGCAAGACGAAGGGTGATTGCGACGACTTAACAACTGCGGGGTCCACCAGCACCGCAGCGCCGACGGCGCAGCGGCGCTCGACCAGGACGAGCGCATCGACGCGCTGACCCTAATCAAGCAAGTCGACCTGGTCAAGTCGAAGGTCGGCGAGCCTGCCGGACGTCCTTTCCCAGACCACCATTTCTCTCGGAGCCGCAATCCTCCCACTATTTGAACAAAGTTGCGGGTGAAAGAAAAATCACCATGTCCGCATGGGCCCCCGTCGGAGGAGCGGAAAAGCGAGCGCTGTGGCACGCGCGGTCGCGCGCGACCCGCCGCTGGCAACGACGCGAATGCGCGGGTGTCGCGGCGGCGACGACGACGGCGACGACGGCGGCGGCGTCGGCGCCGACGGCGACGACGACGGCGGCCGCGGCGACGGCGGCGACGACGAACGTCGCGGCGACGGCGGCGACACGGCCCGGGCCCACGGGCGAACTTGCGCCCCGCCCTTGCCCTGGGAGCCCCGCGCCAGATTTCTTGGGAGGGGCGAAGATTTTACCCGAAACGTCTTTCCGCATTACTCAAATCTACTAAAGCTCTCTTGCTGATTCAGTCAAACGTCGTTTTGTATCCTCCGGAATACATTGAGCGGCGCGCCTTTACTATAGCCGTCTTCTCGCTGTAGTAACGCCGTTTCCTCGCTTGAGTAAAGCCGCTTCTTCGCTTTAATAAAGCCGCTTCTTCGCTTTAGTAGAGGCCGCGGTCTGCCGAAGTAAATCCCCGGGGGTGCGGGGCCAGGGCCCTCTCGGGGGGCGGGGGGGCCCTGTCCCCCCTGCCAGTCCACCCCGCGATGCGTTTGCCCGAGTTGTCAGGATCGCGCTGCAGCGGGTCGCGGCACTCCTGGGACATGTCGTCAGCGAGTTGCAGATGCCCCTCGATATGAGATCCAGGGCGCGGGCGCAGGGCACGGCGCGGCAATTCTGGCGCGCGCCGCTGCTGTCGCGCAACGGAGCAAAAGCACTTTACCAAAAGGCTCGTTGGCTTTAGCTAATGGCTCCTTTCAAGTAATACTCTGAATTTTCCGCTTCCAATTCACCCTCCTCGGAGCGGCCGCCTAGGCGCTGCTCGCGCAGCGTCGCTGCGCTGCCTGCGCAGCGGGCAAGCTGGTCATCATTCATGCGATGCAGGTCAGTTCCGTTGTTCCGGCCACGCAGAAGATCAAGGCGCGCGTCGCCTTCCCGGCAATGGAGCGCGCAGACCAGCTCTGCGCGCATAGCGACGGCGCGCTCAAACGCGAGGAGGAGACAGGGCGCGGCATGCGCGGTGCCGCATGCATGCGTCTGGGCAAGTGCCGCAGCGCTGGGAAGCAGATCTGCCTCTTGCTCGACGCAGTGAGCCGATCGCACAAGCGTGGGATTCGATCATCATTCGTCTCGGGAATCGCTCGCAGCATGCGGAGCGCCAGATGGCTTGCCGGCGCTCCTCCTGACGCTCCGCCAGATGGTGCGCGCACCCGCCTCAGCAGTGGAGATCGGGGGGCCTGAGGGAGGACGGGGGCTGCGCTGTGCTGGCCGAGCTGGTCGTGGACGGCATGTCCGTCTTCTGCCCTGGCCGCTGGCAACGCGCGGCCGCCATGGGAGTGTAGCAGGGCAGGCCGCCCATGGATGCTAGCAGGCCAGTTAAGCACACAACAGGTCTCCGACGTTCCGCGGCGCGACGCCCGCGACGCGAGGGCCGACCCCACGACGAAAGGCAGCGTCGGCCGAGAGTTCGCCCTCGACGTCGCGGCGGGGAAGCCCGCCCACGAACGACCCGCAGCGAGGTTGAGCGAGCCCCCGCCGCAGCAACCTCAACAAGAGCAACGTCGACGGTGCTGCTGGGCATACCACTCGGCGTCGCATGTCGCGGATTATGTTCGAGAATGCAGCGACCGACGCGCACGTCACGAGCTGCGCCCGCGAATGCGACGCATCCCATCACGGAGAAAAATACGCAGTGTCTCGCGCATCGCGCACCATGTGCTCGAATTCGGCACGGCCAGCGAGAGTGCAAGAAGAGCGAAGCATGCAAGTGAGAGGGCTGTCGCTATCAACTGCGTCGGTGGGGCGGCAACATTCCTAGAGTTGAGCATGCAAGTCAGCCACTGCGTGCTCCAGCAGAAAGATTGGCCGCCTCATTTTCTGTTAAAAGAAAAAACAGGGGCCGGGTCAGTAGAGGACCTTCCTGGCGCAGCATCTTTTCCCCAGCGCAACTCTATGTTGATACCTGGCCAATGGAAGGTCTTGGCTGTGCAATTGTTAACGGCGCCCCGTTTAGCACAGGGGGTTCTCATTAACACTATTTACAAAAGGGCGTGGTCAGCATAATCCCCTTTACACTGTCTGTCTACGCTTGCAACTATTTAGTGAGACCTGGTCAGTAGACGGCTCCCTCAGCTTAGCTTTTCTTTGTTTTGTTGGTTTGGGTGTTGCTAGCGGCGAGGCACGATCAGACCCGCTTGAACACCAGACCCGAACGCTAGTTCACCGCTCTGTCTGTGCCACTGCCACTTTCAAGCGTCTCCCTTTTTCCAGTGCAGTTTGGCGCGGGGGCGCAATAAGTTCACCGATCGTGGCCACTATTTTCGTGTTATACACCCGTTCTATTCATTTGGTTGCTGTGAAAATTTTCGAGCGCCGTCATTCTTAGTCCCCGTTTCCTCCTCCTTCTCCTCGCCCTCCTCCTGCGGCTTTGATTTTGAATTGCTTCGCTCCCTCCCCGTTGTCTTCTCACTGAAGAGCTTTCGTGGATTGCCTGGCCTGACCAAGCTGGATCCTTTCCCTTTTTCCCCGTAAGTGTTTTGGCCCAAGGTTCTCTTTGCAATGATGGTCTTTTGGCCTTGCACCGGAAGGATGTCGAGTAGCCTGCGGCGTCGGGATTTGACACGCAAGGATTCGTGTGCGGGGGTGGGGGGGGCATCATGCGCCTCGGCATGCATGCGTTTGGCACGGTTATCACGCGTTTCCCGCCACAGCGGGCCCCCAGGGAGGGGACGGGACCTAGTTTCTGGCCGTCGGATTCTTTACATGAAGATATGTTTCGAGCAGCGGGCGTCGGAATTATGTCAGGTAGAGACACGTGTGCGATAGGTCGGGGTTTCCAACGTGCGTCTCGGCGTGCATGCGTGTGGCACGTGCTTTCGCGCGTTTGTTCTACACAGCGGGCCCCCAGGGGGGGGGGGGGGGGGGGCAGTTTGTGGTTGCCCGATTCTCTACATGACATGCGCGTGTCGAGCCGCGGGCGTCGGAACGTGACGTTTTGAGTTGGGAGCGGACGCGCTCACACCTCTGAGCGACTCGTGCTCCGTCTCGCTTTTCTGAGGGCGTTTTGGGCCCCGTCGTCTTATCCGTGAACACCAAACTGCGTACCTCTTCCGCGGTTTGCACCATCGGGGACATGTCCTCTTCCAGCTTGATGCCCAGTGCCTCCAGAACTCCATGTGTCTGCAACAGGTGCAGCGCGTCCGCCGGCTCCGTGTCGCCAGCCAGGGTCGTGATCCACTTCACTAGTTCGCCCTTCTCTTCGTTCTTGACTTTCGCAGAGAAGCACCTCTTGGCCTTCACCTTGGTGGGGTGCTTGGCTCATGATCGCCAGCACATCCATCGTTCTCTCGACATCGTCCATCGTCTCCACGCCAACCTCGCTCATCTTGGCCTCGACGAACTTCGGGAATGGTGCGCTGCCGTCCCCGCCCGTCGCCTTTCGAAACATCTCCACGGTGCGCGGGAGGAGGCTTGCGAGCAGCGCGTCTGGTTTCTTGCCGTTCGGGCTTCCCTTGAATTGTGTGTTGCTGTCCGTCGCCGCTTTGCGCGCCTGCTCGCCCGCCTTGCTGTACCCCCCCTCCACCAACTCCAGCAGCTTGTCCAGCTCCGCCTCTGCCCGCATCGTGAAGATCGTGTTCTCCGCCCCGGCGTTGGCCCTTCTCTCGTTCTCCAGCTGCAGCAGCTTCGACAGCGCCTCGTGGATCTGTAGCTGGGTGGGATCCTGCACCTGCTGCGCTCCTCCCGCACCTTGGCTTCCCGCCTGCAGCTTGTGACCCCCCGCCCCGTCCGCCGATGCCGCCGCCGAAGGCGTCCCGAGCATCTCCCTTGCGTTGCACCTCAGGGGTCGCTTGCACTTTTGGAGCCTGACCATCGCTGCGGAGGAACGCCACCAGGGACGACTGGGCAGGAGGACGCTCCCGGCTCGCTGGGATGGTCTGGCCGCCCCTCCTCCTGCCATTGCCTGCCTTCCGGCTGCCCGCACCTCCCCTCGAAGCTGGCCAGTGTCCTCCTCCCATCTCCGTCTCCCCTCTTTTGGCCTTTGGCCCCGCCTGCTTGGTGGTCCAGGCTCGCACTCCGTCATGCGCTTCCTTTTCGTTCCTCTCCTCCGCACCACAGGCTCTTGTGCACCCTTCCGCCCGCCGCACCGCGGCGCATCCGCCCGCTCTGCCTCCGTCTCCTCCTCGCCTGCCCAGGTCAGCGCCCTGCCGAGCACCGCCTTCGGAGCCCTCGCGAACC